GAGAGAGAGAGAGAGAGAGAGAGAGAGAGAGAGAGAGAGAGAGAGAGAGAGAGAGAGAGAGAGAGGTTGCTACTTGGTTATGTGCATATATCATTGTGATGGACCTAGTTTCCTCGCCGAAGGTGGTTTGTGCCTTGGAAAGACCAGATGAGAGTTTTTTGTTTTTGACGATTATTCTGCTTTTTTGGGTCATTGTTTCAGGTCGGAAGGCAGAGGTGGATTTGGAGAACAAGGTGGCATCGAAGAGGTTTCGGCTCAGAGTGGAAGAATGGATAAAGGCCATCAGGAAAATGGTGGGGGAATCAATTGCAGAACAGCAGAAGGGTTTGAAAGACATGGAACAGCATATGGGGGAATTCGTCGTCAGAAAGGAGGCTGTAAGTATGTCTTCAAATTATTAGCATGGTGCCTTGCTGCAAGGAGCCTTCAGTGAGAACACAAGTTCTCAGCAGTAAATACTCAAAGCTGAACCAGCATATATGAACAAAGTTGGAAGTGGAAATACAAAGCCAGGGATACAGCAGATGAACACACAGTGACACTGAATCTCTTGATAAAGAAATACCGACTTATCGCCCAGGGATACAGCAGATGAACACACAGTGACACTGAATCTCTTGATAAAGAAATACCGACTTATCGCCTCCTCTCTTCAGTACAATAACAATGTAGTTCTCCAGTGATGTAACCTTCGATACTTCCTGCTCACTCAATATGCACAGCTTACTCTCTCTCAGTCTCCCTTTCTTCTCTCTGTCCACTCCTCTCACTTAAAATACTGAGGAGTCTGACCACCTTGAGTATTATGTTTAGCCATCGCCAGCTATGTCAACCTGTTCCCACCTCTGTCCTTGTCCCCTGATCACCTTAGCAGCAGTGCCTGTTCTTCCCCCTTGGCGCAGCTATGACTGCTGCCGAGCAGGAGCAGCTACTTGTGTGGCTGCTCCTCTCCTTCTCCATCTGTTCAGGGTTCTCACTCTCTGCGTTTGTAGAAGAGCTAGTGGTGGGGGCCAGTGCCTCCAAATGTGTGGAATGCTGCAGCCTCCTCCTCGTCTCTTCCTGGAGGCTGCAGCAGCCTGGCTGGTACTGTGTTCCTCCCAGTCCAGGATACTTCTGAGGGCCTCTAGACTGTGTACCTTGGGCACAGCCTCTGCAACTAACTTGGAAGGTGGGCCTACTGGTTAGGTGGGGAGGCTGCGTCCAGGGTTCCTTCCACCTGATGCACGCCAGCCTACCTAGGGACCTGGTGGATTTTTGCATGCATGGACTTCACTTAAGGCCGGCTCAATTTTGCATGAGACCCTCGAGAGTCACCCGAGTCAAGTTTGCACGAGAGGCCGCTACGGGATGCTGCGGAGGCCTGAAACCTCGTATTGCTGTGAAGCCGTACTTGCTGGTGGCGAGCGCATCAGCTTTCCACATTCGATGGGATTGGGGCCATTGTCCGTGGCATGACTGTCATGCCCTTCTGAGGTCGTTGTAGAGCCTTCAAGTCTCTTCCCAAAATGGGTTTCGGCATCTCTTAGGATTGCCTGATGCTGCCTTGGGCCAGGCAATCCCTGCCAGACCCCTGGCTGGCCAGCGTGTGTGTGGCTGCCCAACACGGAATGGGCACCGTTGTAAGGGTGTCTGTTCCAACAACAGGCTGTTGCCTCTAAGTGCCAAGCTAAGTACAGGTTTCTGTGGCCGAATATGTCTAACAAGGTGGTACAAACCCTCGTTAAATGTTCAAGAAGTTTTACATTGCATGTCCCTTTTTGGTGGGCTTATGAGGATATGTTGGACGCTTGTGGGGGGACTCTAGTGATAATTTTTGCCTCAGCTCTGCTGAAGAGGTACTTTTTACTTTTTTCATTTCCTAGGAAATAAACTGAAGGCTGGAAAGGGGGTGCATAGTCCCTTACAAAGGATACACAGTCTACGCTTCTGTCAGATATGGATGGAGGCAACCTGAGACAACAGTGTTGATTGCCTCCTTTAGTGGGAAAGATTTATCACCGATCCTCCCCTGTGACTCTTATCTGTGATCAATGTGGCTTTCCTCTGTGTTTTCAGATCCGGATGGTCCTAGATCGAGTCAGTCGCCCAGTACTATTTGTTATACCACAATTACTCGTTGTCAATTTTTATCTCATCTCTGCTGATATGTAGAAGGTAGCACATGCTCAATTGCACTTTCCTCTATGGTTTTGTTTTCAAAATGGGATGGTTCTCATTAACGCTGGATCAATTTGTGCAGCGCCATTTGTTCTATCGGAATTTGCCGTTTGTTTTGGTAATCAACGCAAACTCTTTCAAATCGGGTGCTTGATTTGTTTACCAGGATCTTGCAAGATTGAAAGAAGACGCCGAAGCCGTCAGGAGTGTGGTGTCTCGGGGAATGGAGCAAGTGAAGGAGGCAGTCATGGCCCATGAAGAGAAAGGGGCACAGTCTTTTGCTGGCATATGCGATGCACATAGGGGTTATGCGGAAAATCTCGAGAGGGTAAGAACAATTTTTTGTGTGATGGAGTATTGCATGAAACCATTTCTTTTGTGTAATGAAATATTGCAAGAAACCTTTGTAATGCAGCTTGCGCATTGCAGGAATCTATAAAAGAGAAGATGAGTGAATGGGTTTGGATATCACCGTGAAGCTGCAGCCATGCACTGGTTTAAAGGGCATATTAGAATGGCCGAGGTGGACACTTCTGCTCGTTTTTTCAGAGAATAGGGTAGGATGTGTCAGTGCTTTGGGATATCATGATGAAGCGTATGTGTGTCAGTTAAGCCAACAGAGAATGGTGAGCGTGGAATGGATCAAGCTGACGTGCCGTGACTTGAGAGTCTTGAGACTCTAGTTGCGAACTCTGGTATAATTCTAGTGCAGTGACTTGAGACTCTTGCTCAGCAAAATTCTGGTGCGGTGACTTGAGCATCATACTCGGTGTCATGCATAGCTGACGTGCCATGACTTGAGACTCTTGCTCTGACCTATGCTGCTTCACCACCCAACTAGATTTTTGAACTCCATCATCTCCCTCCCTTTGTTTGAGTACCATTCTGAAGTGTTACTGCGTTCGTTTGTGGCCTTATTTCACATAAGACGGTCCTTGTTAACAACATCGATCTTGAGACTATGGTTAAGGTTTTATTTCTAAGTTTCATCACTGCAATGAACCTTACAAGATTCAACTCAGAATACAACATGCAAATTTAGAGCATTCAAATGGAAGTTCACACAAGCTTGAGATATACACATGAACAGTGCGAATTTGAAGTTCCACTCAAAATTACAATCATATACAATTGAAAAGGTTCCGGCTTGGTTGAATATACTGCTGGGGACAAGATTCAATTAGATTTAACTAGATTAGAATATGGATGGCCTACCTGGTTTCAGGCATTTGCGAAGGTTTTTTGGTATAACTTAGAATAACTTAAAATAAGGGGCCTGTATTGGCCATAGGTGCTCAGCAAGGTCTCTCCATGATGAGACAAGAGAAACCTACTGCCCTCAGAAGAGGGCGGGCAAATAAGGCAAATAAGGCAAGGGTGAGGTTGTAAACATATCAGTAGGGTAGATATAAAACATAAAGTTGATAGGGCCTAGATGTAGATGACACTTGAGAATACAAGAGATACTCGGGGTAGGCTGTATAAAGGAGTGCGTAGTAGAGACTGGAGGGTGGTATGAGGGCGAGAGCTGTAAATATTAGATGGTGCCCAGAGGATTTTAATGGGGAAACTGAGGAAGGGTTTAACACGATGAGAGGCCCGTGAGATTGCTAGAACAGCCCCCCGAGCCAGGCCCCCCCTGGGGACCCGTCTGTTGTGTGGCTGGGTGCTGCTAGGAAACTTCCCGACCAACAGAGGTGTCCCTGGGAGGGCTATGGTATGGGACGTGAGCTTTGGTTGTAGCAATCCCCCCCTTGAGAGGCGTCTAGGGGCGCAAGGGCAAGGCTTTCCTCTTCTCTTTTAAACCAAACTGTATTTTGTTTTCCAGGCTTGCCGGTGACGAGCAACCGGACTGATGCCCCCCAGAATAGGAGCTGGGTTTCTTGGAAAAAAAAAAAAAAAAAAAGTTCCGGCTTGGGGGCTTGTAAACGCAGCAAACATGTCTTCTGCATGTAGCCGACCTCCCCATCTATAAACGCAGCAAACATGTCTTCCGCATGTAGCCGACCTCCCCGTCTAAACTTCTCTCCCTCTCTCGCCTCGCTATGTTCGCCTGCAGCAGCTAAGGACCTTGCTCGCCTCTCCCCCAGCGCTATTTCTTCGTCCAGGTCGCTAGTTTGCACAAGCTCCAGCAGCGCTTCCAGAAATTTGCAAATTGAACAACTGACTGCCTTCTGGCACTGCAGCCCATAATATATAGTTGCAGTGGGTTGTTCGTGCCTCCTTCAATCGCTACCGGCCTCCTACGGCCTCCGCCTTGCCAAATTGGCATTTTGAGAAAGTTCCTGACATTCTTGTGAGGTTGCTGCAGAATTGGACTTCTGGGGACTTGATGTGCTCCGACAGGCACTGTTAGCCTACAGACCTACGACCTCATCCTACAGAACCTAGGCCCTACTCTAGCGGGATGGCCTAGGACTAGTGTAATTTGGGACCCTGGATCCGGGACTGGGAAAGCTTGCACCGTGAAATTCGTGAATCCATTCATCACAATTGCTTCGATTAGGTAGCTTTCCCTCCAACTTGAGCCAAGAGGCGTTCGCATCAATAGGGTTGTGAGGTCGGTGCTATGCTAGGCTACCAGCCGGGCCGCCCGGGTCACCCTATTTTCCCGGGTGGCCCGGCCGTGCAAGGATTAGGGAAGGTCCCAGCCAAAAAAAAAAAATCCGAAAAATCCGAAAACAGACTATGTTATGCACAAAAATAAACTGAACAACTTTTGCCTCAGGGTCACATCGAAATTCGTTACCAAATTTAAATAAGAACTTGAATTAAAAAATAATTTTTATTTTTTAATATTTTATTTCTTTTTGGCCCGGCCGGGCAAGTGGACCCTGGTCACTCTGGTAGCCTAGGTGCTATGTGATTTAGTTACCAGTCTACCATTACTCTGACCTCTTTTGGGGCTGTGTTGGTTGGTCTTGTGCAATGCCGAGCAGGTGGTTGTTGAAGCTGTTACCCAGGCTGAGAGAACGATTGGATCGTTGCAATCAGCAATGGAGGAGCAGGCAAGAAATATGACATTGTTTGTCAACCAACAGAGAGAGGTGAGAGACAAAAAATCTGGGATGTTACTTCTTGTGCTCTGACCTGTTACGGACTCCGCTAAGGCTCGATCCCTGGTCTATGGGTTAACCACCCGCCAGCTTGCTGTATTTATTCCATACTTGCGGCGCACGTCGTGCGAGGCACTTGCGCACGTGCGCCGCATAGCGCAGCGCGCGCACGACGCGTGCCGCATGGCCAGAAACGAGGGTCGAGGGAAAAAAATAATAATTGGGGGGAGTGGTGCAAGTGAGAGGGGGGCTTCTTGGAAAATTGCAACCGCGCCCACGAAAATGTTTTCCGGGCCTCGCCAAGGCCCGGAAAAACATTTTCACCCAACGTTCGAATTCGAACGCTGGTTGAGCCAACCTCCCGGCAAGGCCGCCAGACAGTCCATTCGGGTGTCCACCACGTCGTCTCGCGCCGCCGTCGTAATGCCTTGGCCGTCGTCATCGAAGACCTCAATCCCCCTCCATCGTCAGCCATGACAAGGCTGGCCATCCTTCATAGCAGCAGCGAGCGGGAGCAGGGGTGGTCGCCAGCAAGCATCGCCAAGGTTGGTGCTCTCTCTCTCTCTCTCACACACACACACACACACACACATCCTTGCACAGCGGCCATGTAGTCATCTCCGCATCGTTCCGATTCGTTAGTTGGTGAAGGCTCTCTCTCTCTCTCTCTCTCTCTCTCTCTCTCTCTCTCTCTCTCTCTCTCTCTCTCTCTCTCTC